AGGCCAGTGCTGGTGGGGTGGGGTGGGGGCCGCCGCGCATGCGCCGCACCTGCAGCGCCGCCCGCTGGCCCGCAGCTGGGTGTAGGCAGAGTGCGCCCCGGGACCCCGCCGCGTCCCTTCCGGGTGCCCCGCTCTTCTGGTTCCTCTGCTGCTGCCTGGCGCCGTTTTGCAGCCTCCTGGCCCTCGCTGGTCCCTGCTCCGGACTTGGGCGCTCGGCTCCCGAGCCTCGGTGCGGACCGGGAGCTGAGGCCGGGAGCTGAGCCCTGCGGCCGGCGGCCTAGCGGCATCCTCGCCTGGCGTGGGTGGGAGCGTCTCCGATCCTGCTTCTCATTACCTGTGGGTGGTAACTGGAGACTGCTTCGTGAGTCCGTGCCTGGTATGGGATTTTCTCTCCTGGGAGTGGCTTGTGTGTGAACGCTAGTGTGCATGTAACCGCTAGGAAAAGGAAAACAAGCATCCACCTGTTGCTTTCAGCAAACAGTGCACAAATGTAGTATGATTAGCAGCAGTAACAGAGAAATGATTTTTTGGTTTGTTCTTGATTGTATAAACCAACAATGAAAACTTTTTTTAGGCTACACTGGTCATTGGTGGTGCTGTTATTGAAGAGAAAGATTTCAAACCTTTTGCTAATGCAGCTTTAGAATCTGGAATGGTGGTCATAGAAATGTATAAGTGCAGACGCACAAACTGTGCGCTATGCTGTATTCACTAAAGGAGATCTTTGAGCAAATGCATAAAAAGGCAAAAAGCAGAGGTATAGTAAGAAAAGTAGATCTTAATGAAAAGGTGCTCTTATCTTCGCCCCACTTTAACAGGTCTGTGAAGATTTTACAGAGGTGATGCATTTCCGTGTCGGCAGACCCACCCGGGGGCCCCACTTTGCAGACTTGCTCACTGCAGGAGATGAGGGTGCCCCCCGGGGCCGGTGGGGGTTCCCACAGCCTGCCAGTCAAGTGAGCACACACGGGTTCTTTTCCTCTTCCTCCTCCTCCTTTTCTTCTTCCCATCTTTTCTTCTTTCTCCCTTCTTCTCTTTCCCCTTCTCCTCCTTCTCCTTCTTTTCTTTCTTCTTACCTCCTCTCCTCCTCCTCCTCCTCCTTCCATCATTTCCTTCTTTGGTGAGGATAAGAGCTTCAGTTACTTCAGCCAAGTCCTTCCACCAGTCCTTCCCGTTGGTCTTTATCTTAAAGGCCCCCTCATCTCCATGGCAGTCACATCAAAATGTCCTGGGCACAGAGAGGGTTAGGGCACTTAGGCTCAACCCCTTCACAAAACTCATTATTAATGCTACACAGAATCCAAGAAAGCTGAGCTGAAATCCCAGTAGAGTGAATTTACATCACGTGCCTTCACTGTGTTTGATACAGCATTTTTGCTATTGTAATATGTTTCCGGATTACATCTGGCCTAAGTTTATAAAACCCAAAACAATGTTTTCATTTGATAGATTTTTAAAAGAGAAAGGAGGCACCAATAAATCAGGTAGAAAACTTCATCCAGGGCTCCTTACATGTAAATACACAGTTTCATAGTGCTGACAGCAAGTAAGATTATATTCCAAGGAACTGACATCTGTTCTGAATTGTACTGTTATTCAAACTTCAGGGAAATATAAACAGGATCACATCAGTATACTGCTTACAGAATTTTTAAAAAGCTATTGAAGTATATCCCATTCACTTGAACAGCTGCAGAATAAAATGAAATGGCCATGTTGTAGATGATCGTAACTTTACAGTGGCCCATCATGAGCAAGGAGCCTGAGAACACCAGTGGTTACAAGGAATTTTCCTTTTTAATTCGGTTGAAACTGACAAACCCCAAGTGCCTGGTTGGTATTGCCCCGAGGGTTCAGGACAGCTTATTGATGGGCTAGGACAACCAGTGGCATGGGAGATGCAGAAGAACCCTACAATGTAGATCATCCCAGTGTAACAGAACACAGCCTTCTAGAACCTGTGTGTGCCATCTGTTGCTGCTGAACATGAAATTTCTCACCTGATCACCTGATTAGATGGTGATCAGATTTATTCTCTCCATTGAAAATTTTTTATTTTTTGGCCTAGATGTTATGGTTTAGATCTACAATGTCCCTCAGGGTCTTGGGTTAGGGGTGGGGCCGGTGGGAAGGGCTGAGTCACTGTGTGGTTGGAAGTGTGTGTGCTGCTCCCTGTCTCCTCCCTGCTCTCCCTGCTTCCTGGCCCCATGCAGTGAGCAGCTCCCCCCAGCATGCCCCCTCCTCTGCCATGGCCAGCCGTGGACTGAATTCACGGGAACTAACTGGGACTATTTTGTGTCCAAATAAACCTCTCTTCCTTTAAAGTGCAGGTGTCAGGTATTTCATCCCAGTGAAGGGCAAGTGATGAATATAATAGGTGTTCATGTTTATTTTCTACATGTGGGCTAAGTTACATTGCTTTATGTCTGACCAGCAGCAGGATTGGCTGGTGATACAGATGTATTGGAAGACTCACACTTGTTCCCTAGCAAATAGAGCCATTCGTGAAAAGCTAGCTTGGAATGAATTCCTATACACGGTTGTGTACTTAATTTTAACAGAATTCTGTGCTTGTTTCACAACCAAATAGTCCACAGTAGCTCACATTATTTCCTTGGTCACCATTTATCTTCAACAACTACTATCAAGTTAATTTTCATATTAATGCCACTGTTAATAATTTTTTCTGTGATAGTTTCTCTGTGAGAATAACGTGTTCTTGAGTGGATTCCCCAACATTAAATTTCCTTTCATGAGCTGCAACATAAATAACTGGAGAATTTTATGTAAATGTAAATATTGGTTCATAAAGAAGTGCAAATTATATTGAACAGTCAAAACTAACTTTTTAAAAAATGATACCACAAGAGCCAGGGATTTAGCTCAGTTGTTCTGCCACCTGCCTGGAAATCGGAAGGACCTGAGTTCTATCCCTAGTACCAAAAAAAAAAAAATGATACCACAAAGCTTTGTTAGCAAGGTAAAATGCACATTATGCTACTTTGAATAAATGACTTAAGCTCTACAAGAAAATCTGTTTAGTTCTACATTTGCACAGATTAAAAACACTGCCTCCAGGTGCACTCCTGGGATTTCTGAAAACCCAGCTGATGCACAATATTTATGCTAATGCTTATTGTGGATAAACTGAACAGGATGAGGGTCCTGACATCAGTAAGCAAACTCATTACAACCACAACTGAAGGAACTAACAGGATTCGAGGAGGGCAGGAGACCTCGGAAAGCCGTCCGTCCCTCTCATCTCATTTTCATATCTACTGATGCACAGTTGTGCCGTTTGCAAGGCGAGAGACCTAGCAAGAGGAAAGTTCGCGTATAGGGAATTCATATTTTCTTTAGTAGCACTATGCCCAAAATATCGGTGCCTTGATGAGCATTGTGTAAAGATGGCAGGTGGCACTCAGTGGAGAAGACAGGCTGAGAGTCAGCAGGTGGTTCATTTCTGTCTGTCATGGGCCTGTCAGGGAGAGAGAGGCTGGCTGCTCAGGGTGTATGTCCCATGGTGTGTGTGTGTGTCATGACACAGAATGCACATTTTGGATCACCAGGCTCGGGAGCTGGGTCAGTTCTCGGCCCTGCAGGTCCAGAAAGCTGATTTTTCTAGTGCTCTAAGAAGTAATCAGGCTTAGCAAACCAGCTGAAAGCAAAGACACCAATCCTAAGAACAGACACAGATGCCAAAACCATCAATTTCCTGCTCCGCCCATTCCCACCAGCCACAGGGAAGGTGAATGGCAGCAAAGATCGCCAAGTGACCATGAAGTCCGAAGCAGGAGAGCTGCTCTTAAACCAGGAAAGGGACCCTGAGTGGCGACTGTGTGACCTACCTTCTCATGAGGGATGTCTCCAGCCAGGAGGCCGTGGATGTGGCAGCAGGGCTCACGGCTGTTGCATGACTCCTGTTCTCTTCCACAGTGCAGTCTCTGGGATTTTACCAGGTCATCACCTTGACTGGAGATGAATGTTTTAAGGACTCATCGGCAACACCCTTGTACATTCTCTCTTAGGGAAGGCTACTTCTGCAGAATGACAGGCCTGGTCTGGCTGTCCTCTCTCTCTCTTTCTTTCTCTCGCACTTTCTTTCTTTCATCTCTTTTGGTTCTTTTGGAAGTTGGCTTATCATTTACGTTCTCTTCAGCCAATCCCAAAACACTAAAAGTACTCATCATCCCTCAGGTGCTATCTGCCAAAATCCAAACTCATTGGGAATATTTCCATTTTAGATTTAATTTTCCCCATTTTATTAAACCATTAGCCAAAGTATAAAGAACAATTTCTTTTTTTTTACATAGTGTATTATCTTAATATCTAATATGCCATTAAACCACAGTGCCCAATTTTGGAGGATTGAATATGCCTTTGTACTTTTTCATTTTGATGCCTCAAATTCAAATTCTTAGAAAATCCATTTCTAATTTTAGGAATAATGATTGATCCAGAACTGTTAGCATGGCATTTCCATGAAAAAAATTAAAAGACTATTCATTCTCATAGGGATAGAAGTTGTGTGTTTCTTTAGACTTTTAAACTACCAAGAATACACCAGTATATTGAACACTAGTATTATCTGTTTTTTGATTTCTGGAATGAATACAATTTATTACTTTATGTCATGGAGCCACTAATATTACCCTGAAAATAGAAGATATACAGACACAGATGTGTAGATACACAGCAATATATTTATGAGAATATGTTGGATCTTTGGTTCCTTGCTCAGGGGTCCTAAAACCAAAATTTCCTGAGTGAGAGGAGAGGTTTTTTGCTATTCATGATGAACCCCTTACTATGGCATCTGAGTTTATGCTGATGAGTCACTCAGGGTGGGACTTCAGTGTGGGTTTAGAAAGATCCCATACTTGGAGGCCCAGAGCTTTCAGCACACCTGTCCCCCTCTCTGAAGGGTGGTTGGGGGCTGGAGATGAAGCTCTCCTCTGAAAACTCTAACAGCGAGCTTCATGGAGCGGTGGCAAACCCATCCCAGCTGCCCTGGGACAGGCTTGATTGTGGGGTTAGAGACCGAAGTGTGAGGGGATTTTTAATGCAGCGACAGTTGGGGGAGGCAAAAGGTTCTGTTTTCCCCTGAAACTTGAATGTTGAATAAGCTCAGCATTTCTGACTCAAGGACAAAGCCATAGGAAGCAAATGCCGAAGTCTGGGTCTAACCTGAATGTGGGACAGTGTGCAGCATTGCCACTAATATGTTCCCTAATATCTGACTGGCGTTCAGGTATCCAAGGGTGGGACTCCTACTTCATCATTAACAGTCTCAATAATCCAGATAAACATTTTCTTAATAAAGTGTCTCTGAGTTTACCCCCCTCCCCGCCCTTCTCTTTTTGCAATAAGTCAGGA